TATGAAGAGATGGAAGAGGAAAGAAAAAGGGACCTCGAACGTCTCTCAAATGTGGTCCTGGAGGAAAGCGTGATCATGCTGAAAGATGAGGTCAAAGTCATGGACATCGTCTACGAGGAGCTCAAAAAGGTCAAAAGCGCCATGCCTAAAGAAGAAGAGTCGGTGCTTCGAACAAGGATCGTATCCCCCAAGGAGTTGCTTAGTGAAGCACCAAAGTGGGACGAGGCCATAAAGAAAGAACTGCACCAGCTCTTCGAAGAAAAGCAGGCACTGAAGCGCATCTCTGAGGATGAAGTTGAGCGCCTTCGCAAAAGGTGGGGTCGTCATTTGGAGATCCTTCCATCCAAAGTTGTGATCACCCTCAAACCTGGACCACGACGAAAGATCAGGTTGGTTGCCTGTGGAAACTTTGTGGATCAATCCACACCAGACCAAAAGGATCAATGTCTCTATGCTTCGGGCGCTGATGCCGTTTGCCTGCGCTATGTGCTGAAGCAAGCAGCTGAAAAGAGCTGGGGAGCCACGGTCCTCGACATCCGCACCGCATTTTTGAATGCACCCCTTGATGTAGAAGATGATGGTCAAGACCCAACAGTTGTGGTGCTCAAACCTCCCTCGCTGCTCATCAAGACTGGTCACGTGGGAGTCAAGGAATTCTATTTGGCGCAGAAAGCCATGTACGGCCTGCGACAATCGCCTCGGTGCTGGGGACTATATCGTGATGGTGTCCTTCGAAAGATGAAGTCAAAAGAAGGCCATCGATTTGTCCAGGCCGAAGCGGAACCAAACTTGTGGAGCATCATGAAGGGCCACGGAATTGATGATGACCGTGATGAATGGCTGGTCGGATTGTTGCTGGTGTACGTCGACGATTTGATGGTGGCCAGCGATCCAACCACAACAAGCCTGATCGTCCAAATGCTTCAAGATGAGTGGGAGACGTCCGAACCTGAAGTGGTTGGTCAAAAGAAGGTCAAATTCCTCGGCATGGAGCTGACCCAGGCACCACAAGGCGGATTTCGAGCCTCTCAAGAAGACTACATCCTGGACAAGGAGGGTATCCCAGAAGGTCGAAGTGTGAAGGTGCCTATGACAAAGGATGCTCTGCCCTATCCAGAAGAACCTACAGCTGAAAAGATTGCGGAAGCTCAAAAACTGGTGGGTGAGTTGATGTGGCTTTCAACAAGAACAAGACCTGATGTCTCCTTTGCCACTAGTCGATGTGCGCAGGAGATCTTGACACATCCCACCTGGGCTTCCGAGCAGGCCACACAGGTCTGGAAGTATTTGAAGAACACTCCAAAGGAAGGTCTTGAGTTCCGCCCTGGACGAGGAGAAGGCTGGGATGGAGGGCCAAGATCCCTGGAGGTCTATACGGATTCAAGTTTTGCTGCCATTCCAGAGACTCAGGCTTCCCATGGGGCCGTCATGGTCCTGTGGAATGGAGCTATGATGTTTTGGAAAAGTGGAAGGCAACCGTTCCCGGCTTTGTCAACAGCCGAATCCGAGCTTTTAGAAGCTATTGAAGGTCTGCAAACAGGGGATGCTGTCGACAGCATGATCCAAGAACATGAGGATCCATACACCAAGACCCTGTTCGTCGACAACCTTGCAGCTACAGGATTCTTCGCAGATGGACATGCAAATTGGCGGACACGCCACTTGAGGCTTCGCGCGCAACATGTCCGATGGAGGATCACAAACCTCGACTGGAGAGTCAGGCATCTACCTGGCGCCATCATGATTGCTGACTTGGGCACGAAGCCGCTTCCCATCCAGCGAACACTGGAGCTCAAAGAACTTATGTCCATGGCCATCCAAAAGAAAGTTGAAGAAGAAAAGAAGGAAGTAAAGGAGGACGGCCCAGAGGCAGCAAGAGTGCAGAAGGAAGTAAAGGAGGACGGCCCAGAGGCAGCAAGATCAAAGAAGGAAGAATACACACAAAAGAAGGTTGAAGAAGAAAAGAAGGAGGAAAAGGAAAGACCAAAGAAAGAAGGTCGCTCCGGACTTCAGATCAATGCCAACCAGATGCAGCTGGCAGTTCTGATGGCCATCATCGCGAAGGCTCGAGCACAAGGAGGAGGTGATGAAAAGGGCCAACCATCTGATGAAGGACCTTTGAAGTTCTTGGTGTTGGGCTACACCTTACTGGTTGTGCTTGCCACGCTCTACCTGAGAAGGTTCATTGCATGGCTTTTTGAACCTGCCGTTCCAGGAGGAGATCACGCAGCCGGGATTCCAGAAGATCCTCCTGTGAGTGGTCCACCAGGCAGCACAAGTTCAGAGCCATCGCAAGGAAGCTCAATCACCGTCGATTGGCAAGGAAGAGAAGTCAACCGGCCAAGTGCAAGGTCAAAAGGAAAAAGAAAAGGAAAAGGTCAAGGAAAGGGTGAGCAGACTGAGATCGACTGGGCCTATGGGGCTTCTCGGCCAATGACCCAAGAAGAAAGGAGCCAGTTCGGCATCCAAAATCGTGAATGGCTCATCAGATGGATGTCTTCGTTGAGCCCTGAAGAAAGGGTCATGGCTGGATTGGAACAGCCCTTGATGGGTTCTGGATCTTCAGGACCGGCATCGATGGCCACCTCGTCCAACACAGATCCCAATCTAGGAGGGATTCAAGAGGAGCCTGAACAGGAGGTCCCAGCAGAGGCTGAACCTGATGGTCCTGAAGCGATGGAGGTGGAAGAAGAAGTAACTCTTCATCATCCCACCGAAAGGGACTATCGTGACATCAGGCTGGATGAAAGTTGGGAACCAAGTGATGACCCTCCAACAGCAGCGCCGAAGGCGGCCCCAAGAAGGTTTCAGCAGGCGGGCTCAGCAGGAGGAAAGAGCGAAGGAGGATCGGAAGGTGGAAAAGGGGAAGGCAAGGGCCGAGACACTATTGGAGTCTTCATCACCAAGTTCGGCCAAAGATACCACCTATTTGAGTCCTGCCAGTCGCTTCAAACTTCGATTTTGAGGAGCTCTCCACCGTGCCACAGGTGTGCCTACTGCAGTGAGCAGAGCAGGCTTCGAAGGGGCGAACCGATCTGGTGTAGAGGATGGGGTGAGATCTACCACCGGAACGCCCCGTTGCCATTGCCCTGTTCCACTGGCAGCGAAAAGAAGTACGACCAGTGCACTCTTTGCTCCCAAGAGCTCCGAAGGAGGGGCTTGAACTTGTGATGATGATGTTCCAAGGAGGGACCCTAGCAGAGCTGTTGGTCCCTATGGCCATTTTGGCCTTGGCGAAAGAAAGTGGCTTTGAAGCCTACGGCTCATAACTGGCTTAGCTGGAAAACCTGGAAATGAATGGTTGGGCATGGAAAACTATGTTTGTTGGCTGCATTGTGTTGGGTACAATGCAGATGTTGCCGACCACACCCCGGGACAGCTGAGCTGGTGAAGTTTTGAGAAAGAAGAAGAGCACTGGTGGATCACTAACCACCGACAACGGAAGGGGGCTTGAGCCTGAAAGGGCGAGGAAGCTGAAGACCATCCTCACGAGCGGGAAGAACGGTTCATCCGGGAGTACCCGTGAGGTGGTCGAAAGCTTCGTTTTTCGAATGTTGGTGTCTTCAGAAGAAGACAGGGGGAGTGTTCACGCACTTCCTTGAGGGTTGACTGCATCACGCAGCCCTTTTTGTTGTGAGGGCCTGATGGCCTTTAGAACCTCCCACGAAGGAGGAACCCCAACCAAAGAAGCGTTGAAAAAGAACAGCGGATCTGTTTTGTGCATTTGGTTTGGGAACGTGTGTTTTCGGTCATGTCCGCAGAAGGGTATCAACATTTATTAATAGGGGGGGGGGCGTTTATTATTAGGGAGAGGGGATTAATGTACCACAGACCAGGGTCCTAGTTCTGGTCTCTCAACCTCTCAAGATGGGTCTCCGGAACGCCAGAGGCTAGACCCAGTGGTTTGCTTCAAAGCCCTCCACTCCCACAGTCTTAAGTCTTCCATGCCAAAACCTGGAGACTTCCAGTAGTGGTTTCAGATGGTTTCAGATGCTTCGGCTCGGTGCTTCACCACCTTCGATTCCCCAAGGCTTCCGCTGATTCGATGATCACCCCGCTGTCGACATCTTGGGGTGCCATCGAACCGAAAAACCACTCACCTTCCTCGAGCGTCGCGATGCGTCGACCCCCCCGCCTCGACCCCCCCACGACCCACGCCGTCTCGCCGTTCGTCTCGCCGACGGCGCGAAGTGTCGTCGAAACAGAGGTGGACAGTGACCGTTTAAATAGGACCCTACCAGGGTACCGAACTGGGATACCCCTGGCCCGATCGGCATATGTGGCAATCCCATTAGTTGCGTCTGGGGTATGTAAAGGATCTCAATGAACAAGAAAGGCAACCAAGAAATGAGATCAATTTTACATACATTCTTCAGCCAAATTTCTGTAAGTTCAGCCGAAAGGTAAGTTGGACCAACAGAGGTTGAAGAACCCGAACTCGACTATCTCATAGGTACCCCAAGTAAGGTCCCATTTACGGTCACTGTCCACCTCTCTTGGGAGCCTCTGGGATAGTTGGAGCCTTCGGGTTCTTCAACCTCTGTGGGTTCTCGTCCCGGTGCTGAGCGCACGGCGGCCGATCGTTGGACCGATGTGCTCCGGGTGTGGAGACGGTCCATGGGGTCCGACGTGAGTCGTCCGACGGAGTCGTTTTGGAACATACCAAGGGAGGGTGGTTTTTGGAGACCAGAATGTGAGAAGACCCTGGTCTGTGGTACGGGACGGGCGGCAGTATCGGGCTGTGAAACACCTCTCTTAAGTATGAGGTCAAGTCCTGATATATATCTGTATTTTTGGTGAGGTATTGATGTTCCTAACCTGAGGTTGTGGCTGGGATTTCTTTATAGTAGAGAGCGTTTGTTTGGCACTCAGGATCCTCGAGACCCAATTCCACATTCAGATCACTACCAAAAAACACCAGGGCCACTACCAGGGTGCCAGGGGTCTTTTTCACCACCCCCCAACAGGGGGTTCCTGGTAGAGCTGCTCCACCGCTGCGCCTGCGCCGTGCCGTAGAGCCTCCCGTGCACCGTGCGCCGTGCGGACGCGGCGCCGCCCGGGGTGCCGCCCGCGGCGCCCGGCACGGCACGGGGGTCCTGGGAGGCGGTCAAGCCAGGAGGTGGTGGGTCTTGGTCCCGAGATCGCCACGAATGAGAGTCGGTTGAACATGAACATGAACAACACATGGTTTTCTCAGGGATTGTTGGAAGGTTTTTTTTTTTCATGGGTTGTTCTCTCATGTTTGACAAATGGATGACAAAAAAGATTTGTCTCATGCGATCCGGGTTAGGATTCGTGTTCTCTCGATGTTTATTTGTCTGTCGTGCTACTACCAAGAGAGGTTGAACAGCCCTATAGCCCATCCCATCTGTACCACAGACCAGGGTCTTCTCACGTTCTGGTCTCTCATTCTCTCTTGGTACATCAGAGGTGTTCTTGATCAGTCTTCACTTTTTTGGCAGCGACCCAATTGGGTGCCCTCATCACGGCCTATTTCCATCGAACCAACCAGTCATGGATGCTCATCCAAATCACTGGAAACCAGTTCTGGATGGAACCCCGCAGCCCCCAGCCACTTCCCACAAGTATGTCAATGAACAAGAAAGGCAACAAAGAAATGAGATCGACTTTACATACATTCTTCAGCCCGTGGATTTCTTTGTTCAGCCTGAAAGAAATCCAGCTGAACTTCTGTCGACTTCTGTCCTGCGTGAAGAGCGGGGAGGCCTCCGTCCTGACACAAAAATTCAAAGCCAGGATTCCGTTCACCCACCAGCTGATGTAAAACATCATTGGAAGATATTGGAAGACCTGTTTTTTTGTAGCCTAAAAACGCAAGCAAAGCAATGAATCAATGGTCTACCTGCTGTTGAATCGAAGACCTAATAATCGGTGGGTTTGTGCCGTTTGTGCCAATGAAATCCCCGTCTGACATCATTTGACATCCAAACGATTCTGGTTTTCAATGGGTAGCAGCATGTTGGTTCGCAGCTTCAAGCGCTTGCCCGCAAGGCGAGGCTGCTCCAGTACTACTCCACATCGCGGGTGCGAGTGAGCCCAGCAGGGTGGGGGGGGTGAGCCGAAGCCGCAAGCAAGTGGAGCCACATCCTTCCGAGCTCCTTAGCCAGAAACCTCCACCAAGGACTTCAGGCCCGTTTACGCCGTAGGGACTGTTTTGTGGTCCAAAGGCCAGGGATGGCCCAGGCCCAAAGAGCCAATTCCTTGTTGATCAAAGATTTGGAACCTCATAAAGCACGCCACGAGAGGTTTTTTCGAGACCAGAACGTTTGGACCCTGGTCTGTGGTATGGGATGGGCGATTAGTGGCTATAGGGGCTGTGAAAAACCTCTCCACGCCCTGCAAATGGTCCTCCTCTGAATCTTCACCCAGGTTTGATGGACTCCTTTGGGTGTGATGGACTTCCTCGCAGGCAGACCTCTGGAGGCGTCCCCACCCGCTTCCGGACATAGGGTTCCGGACATAAACTCGTCCACCCAGCCAGGGGCCAGGAGGTCTCCCTATATTAACATACACCCCAGCCATTCTACCAGGACCCTCCAAGGGGTGCCCTGTCTGGAAGCCTAGTGGGGTAGTGCGGGGTAGTTCATTGGACACCCCTTGGAGGGTCCTGGTGTGACATAGTTGATCGAACAAGGGGTCATAATGGTTGAAAACAAGCAACGGGGTCATGGGAAAATCACCGTGACATGCGACATGCACGTCTCAAAAAGGTATCTACACAGCGCTAGGAGGATGGTATATACAGGCAGGGGGCGCAGCAGGTAACATAGGGCCACACCTGCAAGACCTCAAGGGGGGCTGACCCGCTAGACAAAGGGCCTGCCACAGCAAAACCTTGAGGGGAAGCGGCCTTCCACCTTCAGTTCAGAAAGTGAGAAAGCACTGGAAAGGTGAGACGCAGGCTAGGAGAAAGCGGAGCCAGACTCAGAAGAGGGCGAAGCAGCAAACGAGGAATGAAGGCAGACAAGTGGGGGAACTGCAGGTTCAGCTCAGGCGTCGGAGGACGGCTCTGGCATTCTCGACTTGTAGCGCCACCGAAAGCGACTGCAAGCGCCGCTGACACTCCAAGTCCACGGGCTCAGATGTCCTGGCTGCCAGAAGTCCAGCTAGAGTGCGCCAGGTTTGCGTGGCTGTGGGCCCCCAGCCGCCGCCGCAGGCCTCGGCGACCAAGGGTATGAACTGCAAGCCCTGAGCGCGGCAGTCGCTGTGTGTGTTTTGGTGTCGACGTTTGCGGGCTTCATATTCCAAGATGGCGTGGCCACCAGACAGAGGGTGATCAAGCTGTAGTAGAAGGCTGGTAGACGATCGACCATGCCGAAGATGTCAAGGGCAAGTGCTGGGATCTGAACAGGGCCAACACGGCCCTCAGGCCAAGGCCATCTGCCACCAGCCCGTTGCGCCTCGTTCTCCTCCGGCCAGCAATCATCACGGTAGCAACGCATGCCATCCTGATCAACCGCCCCGTAGATCCTCTCAGGTGACGTAGCCAAGGTGAACCCCCCATGGTTCCAGAGTTCTTCGATCACACCTCGCACCCGAGATGGTGCTGAGGACGAACTGAACCAGGGCTGAGGGCCACCATGTTGGCGGAAGGGTGGTGAAGTAGGTGGTCATGCAGGCGGTTCCCCCTTGTTGTCCGAGTAGATGATCGATGAGGGAGATCAAGGCCGTGACTCGCCTAAAGAACTGGACCCTTGCTTGGTTGTCCCCACGGCCAAGTGGGAGGTTGCCAACCCAAGATGGTCTGGTCCGAGAACTCCGCAAGTCCGCCCAGACCACAGCTGGATGAACGATGGGGAACAAGGGTGCACCTTCCAACTTCCACAAGGGAAGACATGCTCTGAAGTGCTCCTCATGTTCATCCATGGCATGATCCACTGCATCTGGATCGTTCCACATGGCTCTGGCTTCATCGGGTGTCCAAACATCCCTTGCAAGGCCAACATGACGAACCGGGTTGTCAAGATGACCAGGGGTCATAAGGGGTCGAAAAAGCCGGGGTTGCTGGAAAGCTGGGGATTGCTGTGGCCAGTGAAGGATGGAACGCTCCCAAACAATCGATGCGGCCTGGACTAAAACAAATATGAAGGTGTTTAAGGGTGATTAAATGTTCCACACAAACACAGGTCTGGGACTTGTATGTTGTACAGTTTCTCTGTTTAAGAGCCCAATATGCATGGGTGATGTGCAGCCTATGTGGTTGCGCCCCACTCAGTCCGCCTCACAGTCAAAGCGCCAAAGCAATTTCACAGAGCAGCGTGACACTCGTGCACCTTCTCCTATAGAAATCGGGATGATTATTACTAGTAGCGGTGTACTTGTTACTAGTAGCCTCAGGATGATTAGGGTACAAAAGACACCTGCGATATCCGATTGCACTCCCTGGAATAGTCATCATGGAAGTGAATTGAATTGCCCCATGGATGAAAAACGACCTCCTCACACCAAACAGGTGGAGTTTTTCACTTCCATGGATTCTGTCATGGCAAAGCCCTCTAAATCGCTCCGTTTGGGTGTGTATTTTCACAGGTCAAACACCTCCGGCCGGGTGGACTGGGTCAAGCCTGACCCAGAGGCAAAATCTGCGACGCCTCGGCGTTAGGTCTCCCTAGCTTCACAACCCATTTCCAGCCAAGTTCTTACCAGGACCATCCTGTTTGGGGTACATGGACCATGGACTACCCCACACTATACCGGCCATTGGACTGGACCCCGAACAGGTCCAGGGTCCAGGCCCATCGCCTCACCGCCGACGACGGACGACGTGTCTCCCACGCCCGGACCCCCGCGCCAGACGCGGCGATGCTCGGGCGGGAGCGAGCCGGCCGTCTTGGACCTCGGGTGCCGGACAGCCCGGAAAGGGTCGCCCATCCCCATATGCACCACTAGTACAGGGTCCTAGAGTTCTGGTCTCAAGAAACCTCTCTTGGAGGAATCTCCGGAAGTTGGCGCAGCAAATGTTGGAAGAGGTTGAGAGGGGCCTTCACTTTTTCGATGCTTTTACGGGCTCAGACTCACCCTGCTATTTATAAGAATCTGGGGCTGCACTTTTCGATGATGTTGGGGAGGTAGTCATTGATGATTCTTCTTATAGACTTGACTCTTGTGGCTTCCCACGCCAAACTCTTACCTCTGTCTTCCAATCTTGCAGTGGACTCTTAGTGATTCTAGTCGGTGGTCAAGAACAGTCTCCTCTACATGCCAGGTGGGCAAGTCCAAAAAGATCTTTCCATCCAACGCCTTGATTTGTTGAGTTTCCCTCTTGAACGCCTGCACCTTCTTTGATTTCCAGCGGGCTTCCCCTGTTCTTTCCAAACGCCAATCCTTTCAACACTGAGTCAGGTCAGCTCAGCTGTCCCGAGTCAGCTCTCCATGCGCCACCTTCCAACTGCTCCCGGGAGACCGCGGCGACTGGCTGGGGTGGCGGCTGGCTACGAGAGCCCAACGTCTCCGTCGGCCCCTCCTGCGCGCCGTTGCGGCGCGCTGGAGGGTGGTGGATGGTGGGTGGTGGCCAGGTGAAAGGTTCTTTCCTTAGGGCTCCGATTGTCCCACCTCCTGAGGTTTGGTGGGCCAGGGGTGGGTGGGTGGTTTGGGGGATCTGTGCCCACCTTTTCTGGAGCAAAGAGGTGTACGGGTTTGCCGGAAACGTGTCAAGTTGCTATGGGCAGTGAATGGCAGTGATGGCTGGGCAATGGATTGAAATGAGGATGGGTCAAAACCTGGAGTCCCAGCACCATATAGCTTGACCTTCCAGGTAGGTCAACCTTTAGGTCTCATGGTATTGACCCACAGCCAAATGAACCCCAATCAGGATGATTAGATTCCGTTGAAGGTATAAACGGTCCAGGATTCTTGGGGGGAATCTTCGGTTGATCTATTCTCCTCGTTGGAAGATCTCTGGCAATACCTGCCATGGAACATGCAGAGATCATTAGATCGCGCATTCGGAATCCTAAGAGCACCCAACAACGTATACTTCATGGGATGGGAACTTTTGGACTGCTCTGGGAACCCTTGGACTGATTTGAACCGTCCACAAGTTCCCCCTCCCATAAAGTAACACCATCCAGTGTTATCACTGAAAAGGCTGGTTGGCCACCAACTCCTCCTAGTGGCTCAAGAGGAGAAGCCCTCTATGATGCAAAAGGATGTTGATCAGGAACCTGATGGTGGATCTGGGAGTTCTGATAGTCTATGTGTTGGGCATCCCAGCGGATAAAACTTGAGTTCGTCCATCGTCCATGGCGCTCTCTGAATCTCTCTGAGCACGCTGACCTGAAGGGAACACAATTTGTGAAAACTCACCGTGATCGAAATCGACCAGCACATAAGACTTCAGGTTTATCATGTAAATGCATGATGGTTGTATAGCTTAACATGTGCATAATTAAGGCGCGTCCACACAAGTATCATAATGCTTTGTAACCATCATCTCTGCCACCAAGGTTGATCACTCAATTCTAAGGTTCATGCCAAAGCCCTCAGCCCCGCTCCAAAAGCAGCCAAAACAGCACCCGGCTCGAGTAGAGACCAAAACCACCTGCAACTGGACACCAAAACACCCCTTCGCCTCCCCGTTCTCGTCCGACGGTACCGACGGGCTCTCCGCAGTGCTCGAGACACCGAGACCAACACCGGCGGACGGTACCTCCTCCGCGCGGCTCCGGCGCACGCGCTCCGAGCGGGCAATGTGCACCTCCGCGGGGCGATGTGTCGGCCACGTCCCGGGTCGGAGACCGGGTCGCAGCTGTAAGAGCGGGCGAGCCAGTGGTGGGTCAGCTGCAGACAGGGTTCGTCCCGGGGTCCAAAAACACCGAGCCAAAACGGACGCACAGGCAAAGCTCCAACCCTAAACCAAGAGAGGTTAAGTGACCTTATAGGAATTGACTGGGGTACCGAACAGGTATAGTCTAGTTCGGGTCCTTCAACCTTTGTTGGAAAGCCCCTTTTTCGAGCACAAATCATGATCAAAAGCCTATAAGGATCTGAGGCATCCAAGTTCCTTCCAATGTAGGGTCCCTCCTCTGGTTCTTGGACCTGTCGATGGAAAGCGCCGGTGCGTCGGAGTGGGAATGACTATAGGAGGTAATACATCGAGTTCTGGAAAGCGCACGGAACGAAGCACACAAAACCCCCAACACTGCTTCAAGGAAGTCTAGTTGTTCCATATGGGATGCTTCTTGGTCCAGCGCCTTGCAATTTGGAACTCCAAGATCTGGGACCTCTTCGCTGTGCGTCTTCCGCTCCGCTCCGCTGCTCGCGCGGTCATTCACCTGTTCACCGTCGGTGACGCCCAAGAGCTCCGCCAGCTTCGTGGACATCAACACGATGCCCACGGGCACCGCAGTGCCTGGGAGAGCCGAGCTGCTCAGCTGCTCCCTCCCACCGCGTTTGGACGGCGGTTTGGACCATCATGAAGACATGCCGAAAGCAAAAGACGCAGGGTCTTCCGCACGCAAATCCACAGATTCTCCAATTGTTTGGTCCTCAACCGTGAATAGTGGTTACATGATGTTACATGACGTGTTTTCTAAGAGGGGATGGAGCTTTATGGGGTTCTTCGATTGCTTGGCAGGGTCATGGCCGCGCCAAGCGCGCTTCCGCAGAATCGGTCGCAGATCGACCGTGGGCTGCTCCGAATGAAGGTGAGGGTGTCCTATATATTGAAAAGGCAGTCTGAGCCTGATTGAAGGTTCGCTCTGCCTGCTTGGTTTGCTTCAATTTAATGCCCATCCCTCCAACCACTGAAGGAGGGGAGTTGTTCAGATAAGGGCACATCTTCTGGCCAAATGGATCCACCTGGCTGTTGTCTCCTTTCTGTACCTTCCCCTTGACCGGCTCCATGACCCACGCCCAAACACCGACCAAGACGCTCAAATGCACCACTGCCACATGACTGCGGCCATTGGTGCCATATTTCTTCAAGGTCACCTCGGAGCCGCGCGACGAGGCCACCAGGCTCCACCCGGCTTCGCTCATCCCCGGCGCCGAGTCAGTCCAGGTGGGCAGCGAGAAAAAACGAGGCCAAACGGTCGGATTCCAAGCATCTGTTCCAGTAGGCTGCACCATGCCGGGGCAAAGGGTTCAAACACGGGACCATCCTTTCTACACTCGTGTGGCAAAGGATCCAATGAGCTCATCAATTGCAGGAACACAGCCTGGATAAACCCTGCTGCTTAACATCATTCGATGACCAGGAGACCACAACATGAAAAAACACCGACTATATACCACTGCTGGTGTATATCGGGACCTGCTAGTTGAAAACAATGAGCCTTGAGGCCAGCCCGTACGGGCGCACCGCCCGGCAGAGTGGCGCAAGCTCGGCGCCCCCACCTCCCCCAGGTTCTTGGCACTGTTCTGCGCCGTCGCCGGGCTCACCTTCACCAACCTTGGAGAAGAGGACGCGAGATTCTCGGAGAACACCGTGAAAGCACCCGTGGAGACTGTAAGGCACGGCCGTTGCCGCACCGAAACAGTGTCCCAAAAGTGCTCCCTTTGGCAAACGATGTTTTCGATGTCTATAAATCATGCCAAAGAGAACCCCCAAGGCAAATTTCCATGTTCACGCCTCATCTGAAAAAGATGTTGGAAAACATCAGTTCCGTATCTGTCTAACAACTTTGCTCTGAAACCACGCCTGACTCTACCTTTTAGATCCGTTCCAAGAGCTGGAAGAGAACCCTTCATGGCCTTTAATGACTTCAATCCCAAAGCATCGATCCTTAAGTCCCACTGTTCCATCAAAGTACACTCCCTAGGGATCCAGTCGTACCGAACCTCAGGTACGGTGAGCAGGGGAAACTGTTTCTGTAGGCGCCAGGGTCGGGCCCAGTCGTACCTCCTGAGGTACGGTGGCAGTGGATCCCTCTAGGGAGTATACTAATAGTGGGGACCAGGACCACTGCCAAATCCCTCGCCCCTTGATCGAACTCGCCTCGAGCTCGGACCATCGGGCTTGACCGCTCGCCGATCGAGTGGAACCGCACCACGAAGCTGAACGACATGAAGACCCAAACCAGCCAGTCTCCGTCAGATCCACATATAAAGGAGCGAACAGGCTGGAGTCATTGTGCACCCACCCCGGCAGCCCACCCCAACATTGAGTGATGATATATCATATATCGTCATTAAAAATGATGTTCCTACCGAAGTGCCAACTGTTCCAGAGTGAAGGCTTCAAGCTCGGATTTGACCAATGGCGGCAGTGGTTTGAAGAAGCAAGTTCCTCCCACCACAACCCCCAAAAGTCCAGTGCGTACCCACTTTTGGCAAGTTTTGGGTTTAGTTCAAAGCCACCAGAATTCGCCGCTGTTCTTTTGACTAACCCCAAATGGGTGTCTTAAATATTGAATAGATTTAGATAAGACTTTGGGTGGGACCAAAAGAACACAGCAGCCGCCCCTTTTTCCCACAATCTTGAGCCAAACATGTCCGGTGAAGTGAAACGTCAATGACTGGATCATGTTAAAGCTGCATTCATCAAGATTCCTATGACTTGCATGTCATGTGAAACTAAATTCTTTACAGTACTTGGTGACACAACGAATGCGAACCTTGCCTGCGAAACTGCTCTTTGGTTGTTCAAGGACTGCTTCAAGGACTGCTTCCCCTGGCGTGCCAGATGCATCGACCAGGGTGCTTTGCTAGTGGATTAGGGGTGGTGGTTTCACCCCATGTATCTCTTCTCCCCCTTCACACATTACCATGTTCAGTGGAAGATGGGTGCCTCGAGAGATTTGGATCCACGACGCCTAAAAGCTCCAAGGCGTGACTCCATTTGGAAACCGGCAACGGTTTCGTGAAGGGATCAGCCTTTTGATGGTCCGTTTTTATATAAAGCAATTTGGCACTGCCATTCGAGAACGTTTCGTATAGAGAAGAGAGATTGATGCGATGGTGTTTCGAAACATGGCGGAGCTTAGGGCTGTAGCCCTGGCCGCATATGGCTATGACGGCTGCGTTATCCTGGAAACACACCAATTCAATTTCCCTTCTAAACACTTCCTCAACGAATTCGGCAACTGGCAAGGCGTCAAATACACCGTGGGCAAGTGATATGATCTCGGCCTCTGTGGTCGATCGTGCAGTGGCGCCCTGTCTCTTACTGTGCCACGCCAGTGGCCAGTAAGACGCCGGTCCTTGCAGGCACAGCAAACCACCAGAGGTGCTCTTCGCATCCTCTACCGCGCTTGAGTGGTCCGCGTCGGTATACAAGGCCAGTTGGAGGTCTTCCTGCCGATCTGCTATTGTGCCCTTTAGGCAGAACCCTTTGGTCTCGAACAGATAGTTCATCAGTCTGTGCAAGCGGCGGTCGTCGGCACGACTCCACTTCGTCACACGACGTGTGAGGTCGCCGAATGCCTTGACCGTGTCTGGCCTGGCCAGCCTGCCCGCCCAAAGGACTTTCATCAAGACCTTACTCGCATCACTTGCTAGAGCTCCGCGCTCTTCCCATTCATTCACCGGGATTGAACCTTCTGGCAAATACGGAGATGCGGCGCCCTTCAAAGGCATTCCTGACAAGTTTTCATACATTTGGCATGCTGAGTTGATGAAATCTACCATGTCGGAATAAACCTCAGTCACTCCGTTTGCACGTTTGAACGAATGCTTTCTGCCAAGACAACGATCCACTGGGGTCGGTTCTTCTATTTCGAGATGTTTTTGCAGATTTTCCCAGAACCCTCTGTGCAAACCTGATGGTCCTGAAAGCAAAATGTCGTCGACGTACAATGTGAGGACTAGACCATTTTCAAAGGTCCAATTCGACTGGTTGTCTCTGTCAGCTTTCCCTCCCATGAGTCCCATCACTTCACGGAATCTTGCATCCCAGTGGAAACCCGATTCCGGGTGTCCGTATAGCGCCTTCTTCAAAGGTGCTACTGGCATTTTGATGTGGGCGAACTCTTTTGGCACTAACTCCGGCGGGAGTAGCACCCATGTGTCCACCACTGTTCGCAAGACACTTTGAGTGTATGCACGCACTACGTCCGACTGTGAACTGTCATTTCCGGGAAGTGCACCATAGCTCAAGTTGAAATTGATGGCTGTGATTCCCGAGGGATTCACTTTGAGTTCCTGCAGGATGGCGATGTTGTTGTCTTGGTCAACTATCTGATCACCTCGGAACACGATTCTAGCTTTCAACTTTCGCAATTCTGGACTTTCGGCGTGCTTCATGGACAGGATTGTCATGAGACGACCTAGGTTGAATTTGCCACCTGACTTCATCAGTTCTTCTTTGGAAATGATTTTTCTAACATCCCAAACTTCATTTGCTAGAAGACCATCCAACTCTTTCTTAATAGCTTGATCAGCCCCCGGATATTTTCCCCAATCTCGACGATCGATCAACTGATGAACACCTAAGGGAATTTCATGCGGGACATGTTCTGACTGAACAAACGGACAAGTTGGCATGATTGGGACGGAGTCACCATCCGGATACAAGCTGTTAGAGATCGTTTGTGCCATCTTTTCAGTGTAGAAGGCTGACCTCCCTGTGCTCGAACCCTCCAAAGGACTGTGCTTGAAGTCTTTTGGATGCTGGCATCGATAAAAACCAAGGTCTTTTGCCAATTTCCTTGAGGATGTTACGATTCTCCATGTCTTCAGATGTGGTTCTCCTTCACTGTCTTTCAGATCAAAGGCGCAGCCATCACAGCAAGTCTCAAACAAATCATGTTTCTTGATGAACTGCAACAGCTCAGTCAACATCCAACCTTCGCAATGTTTGGGCCATTCGAAAGCAATGTGTCCTCCGTTTTGGAGAATTCTCTCTGCAACCTTTATATAGTTTGCTAAGAGTTTCTTGCTTGTTTTTCTTTTGGCTTTCAACTTCTTTGCGTAGGTAGAACCATATCGATGCAAACACATTTTCTGCCAAGGACTCCATGGACCACATGGAATGCTTCCCCAAAGGTCAGCCCCCTTGAACATGTCTACTAACGACAAAAGGCTCTTGATGTCTTCATCGTTTTCCAAGTTGGTTTGTTCTCGATGCAACCTAAAATGTGGGACCCCCCTTGATTCGTTAATATCTCCTAGTTTCGAGTCTTTGCTGCAGCAGAATTCAAACATTGCATGGCTTTTGCCGGACCTAATCCTCCTTTCACGGGGCGGTTTCAATGTCTGAACGTTTTTAACTTCTGCAGGGACCGGAGTCAAACCAAGGATCGACGTGACAGCATCAAGTCCTCGAACGGGTTCCTTCTCGACACTGCTCGTCATGGTCATGATTCTTGCTTTCACATTTTCAGGCTTCTCCTTTGGAAAGAAGTATGTGCATCCTACCCAACTCTTTGAACAAATGCGCCTATTCGGTGACATGGATTGCCAATCATCTGCAAACAATGAAGTCTTCCTCCTACATGTCCAAATGGTTTGACGTTCTGTTGTCACTTCGAATGGGTCGAATAGACAGTCATTTCCTAGCGGTGTGAACAAACGCTTCCTAGGACGGACATGGATTCTCTTCCATGCAGCTTTGGCCTCATCAAAGCCCCAATAGTCATTCAATGCCTCAGCATTACAGCAATCCACGTGAGAAGCCAATTGCTTGCTCTCGTGGTCTTCAGGCAGGACAATGGGATTTTCTCTGACTTTTTGGCGGCTACATTTGTCCTTCAAGGTGTGCATCGAAATGTCCACAGCGGCTTCCGATTTCTCTTTGTCTTTCTTCGAATCTGACTCTTTGGCTAGTCTCTCGTCTTCCAAGAGCTTGCCAATCCTTGCGTGGCAATCATCACTGTGCCTCACGCCTTCTGCAATTCTGTCGCAGCCTTTGCATCCTACAGTCTTTCCGAACCTGATGCATCTCTCCAATGTTACATAAGGTCTGCGTTTACGTTTGGCTGGCTCGGGAGGGTCTTCTCCAAAGGGCAACGACTCTCTGGGATCAATGCTTAGCAACTCCCGATCTGCTTTAAACAATGCCAGCTGCGAGTTTGCAGCCTCTTCCAAAGGAAAGATGAACACCTCTGGTTTCACAAGTTCACTAGTATACACTTGGATTGGTTTCTCACAACCTTTCTTGTTGGTTCGAACAGCTTCATAGTCCAAAACCAAATGCACACCTCTGAACTTATACCCATTATCGATTCGCCATCCACAGAAGATTCCAGGGAAAGTCCTTGGGTCAAAGGCTGGAAGTTCTCTATGCTTGGGTGGTTTGTACCAAACTAATGCACCAAAAGGAATCCGGTACCCATCAAAAACACTACCTGAAGCAACTTCATAACAGGTCTTCCCTTCCTTCAACGCTTTGGACTCAGGAGTCTCATTCGGACGCACAGGACATGGATGTGTGATTGCATGTGCTACAACAAAATACTCGATGCTCCTCGGCCAAAAGGCGTGCGGCAAACCTGACTTGAGATGGATCGCACG